TAATGAACGTACGTCATATGTGCGCACTGCGTCACTTGGACGTACACTACGTGTACTTACGGCAAACTTCAAATTCTTTAGTTTTCATCGCATATTTATACATTACCTGTTTATTGCAGAATCATTGGTTGTATTGTTCCGCCGGATGGATGGTTTTGTTAACCGAAATGGACAGTTGATTAGATCAGGAACAAGTTGTTACTTGTTTAAATACTTTAGCCATACAAGTTACCTTTTTCATAATATTGTGACTGTTGATAGTTATTACTTAAAGCTAGCTTGCTGTATTTATAATAAAAGTGAATGTTTGTCTTTTGACGATGAATTCATCCTTGAAAGTGTGAGTTGACTGCAAATTTTGAACGGGAGAAGCTTTCAGGAAGAAAATTTTCCCGTGATTGATTGTTAATGTTGCAAAACTGATAGGATCATAATTAAGCATCTTTGAAGGGTTTCCCTCTCGAAACTTTCTTTTTCCATTGTTTTAGATTTGTCTTAGTTGCTAAGATTCAATTCCGGATACTGATAAGGAAGAAGAAATATTTGGAACATTTGCCCTGCTTAACTTACTTGATTAACAAGAACTTCAAAAAATTTCCATGAAATGAATGACTGTAAAAAGTTCGATATATTTCAAAATTGTGCGTACATAATAATGTTCGCAAATGCATACATATCACCTATGAACCTTTATCATCTTATCTCGTTTGAATAAATTAACATATAGTAGAACTGCTGGATACAAATCACTCTCATTGCATGATAATAATCATAGAACACTTTGAGGATACGTTTTAGTTCTCAAACAATTCTGCCAAACAGACTAAAAGTATCAAAACAAAAAGTTTCATTGAAAAGCAAAACGAAATCTTTTTGTTGAAATTGATGACCTTGTTGTGACGTGTAATTTAGATAAAATATATTTCATATTAAGTGAAACTCAGATAGCATGTAACTTTCATCTCCTGCTTAACTCTTCCGTCTAATAGAGATCGATTTTGAAAAAAAATTTTAGCGGATTATTCGGCTGATGGAAAGTGCTTAAAGTAATGCGGCCATATTACATCGTTTATACTTATCTCTTTTTCTTTTTTGCTTCGATTAACGGTCTGCTGTTTACTTCATGTTTGTTTACTTCAGCTCAAGAAAATGTTGCCAAATGAGTTTAAAATGTGACCCATTTGCAATATCAACAGTATACTTGGACCAGGAATTGCTTAAAAATGGAATGTTGGAACGATGTTGAAAAAAGAGATGGAAATCTTGATGATCTGGTTCATGATGATCGGTTGAATGAAACCCTCGAAACGTTGATCCTTTCATTATCCCATAGTCATTCCACATTTCAAAGAAATTAGAAAGATAAGAATAAACTCAATAAAAGGTCGACTATGAATAATTGATAATCAGCAGAAATCACGTTTTGTACTGTCATCTCTTATTCTGCAACAACAACCAATTCTGGATGTAACCATAACATGTGATGAAAATCGGATTGTAAATCACAATTGGCAGTGATCGTTGGAGGCCTGTTATAAGATGCGCCAAAGCTGCATTGTTTTCAACCGGAATTGATCTACAAAATGATTTCAGTACTTTTCCATGTCGTACAACTGCTTCGGAAGTAGGCTACGAAGCTGCTTTAATTCGTCGCATTTTTTCAACAATCAAAAAAATGTAGGTGGCAGGGTTGGGAGACCATTTTAGGAAGTTTAATTTCTGCATAGATCGATGTGTATGAGTGTATGGAACGTATTTGACAAGTGTTTTGCTTTTAGACAAAGAAACAGACTCCAAAATTTATTGATTTTGCTCTCTTGCGTACTGTTATATCATTTACACTGTTTCATTATGACTTTTTAGAGGTGTTCGGATTTTATTTAACCCTAAATAAATCACGGGCATCAACATTTTTTCAACAAAAAAAGTGAAGATGGATGATCACTTCAGAAATTAACAGTTATATCAAAGATAGTTATTCCAATGGAAGCGATCAATCTAATCAATGATCTAATTATTTCGTATGATCCTAATCTGTTTCTACTGATGGAAAAAGTATTCAAGAGACACTTTTAATTTCATCAGTCAAAATTAAAAGTTCGTAATGAGTTGTTATCAACGATGCCGATACGTTGTATTTCGATTGAGGAGTATTTGTAGTGATGGATAGCCAAGAATAAATGTTTGCAACATCCATTTCAGGGCATTATTTCGTGATATGTGCAGCAGATCGCATAGTTTCAACGAGTACAATGATTCCCCGAAGTGGGCTATCAATGCGAGAATGTTGGTTGCTGTGAAGAATGAGGGGAAACGTGACCCTAGAAGTTCCAGAAATTTTCCCGGCATACCGAACTGACCAAACCAATGTGCATCATACCACGTCATCTAAGCAAAATTAGTTTTAGCGAGAATATGGTACAGCCAGGATCTTCAAGTAAAAATTGAAGTAAGATGAGAAAATTAAATTCTTATGGATATTTACGACTTTACTTTTGTAGCAAAGGTTTTTATGGAAGTAGATTTTAAAATTTGTTAATCTCACTTACAGATACGAATTAGTAAAAATAACCCTTTTTATTAGTGCTTTTTGATTATTTCCCTCATTATTGTCACTTTCTAAATACTCAATGGAGAGGGCTCTCAAATGATTCAGTAGAAAGGAAACGAATTTTCCCTACTTTTCTTTAGCAGTTAATCAATAGGCATTAGAAAGATGGTAACCATAAAGTTCAGTCCCAAAAATGTAAGGTTGGGAAGTAGAATTGAAAGAAACCCTTAGGGTTGACCTTTATGCTGAAAAAAATGAGAGTCCTCGTAATAGAAGGAAGGAATAAACTTACAAAATTGATCAGTAGAGCAACTGGTACAAGAATCCACCAGATTAGGTGAGGTGATTTAAAGAAATCGTTCATTGCTCTTGGAATTCAAGTGTCGTGTTCTAAAAATGAAGCAGTGTTAAAATCGTTTCATTGAAGTCACAATAATGCGTTTATGGATTTTTTTTTTTCAAAAACGTTCTGAGATCTATTAATGATTAATGAGACACATTCATATCCAACAAGAAATGCCTAACGTTAGTGAATGATGCGTTATTAGAGCAAACTGTTAGTTAAATAACAGAAGACAATGTTATCAGTTGTGATATAAGAATTAGGTTAAGATTAACATGACCTTTCTCTGCCTTCCCTCCCTGCGATATTTATAATTTCAACGCCACCTTAATTAGAATGCATGTCAATAAAATAACACGCCATAGACCATCCTTGTCTGTTAGTATTTCTGGATTGAGGCTATTGGAATGGCTGATATTTATAACTCCTCATCCTATAAAAAATATAATTTTGCCATTTGCCACTTCGTCCTTTTCCAGAGAAACCTTAATGCGTGTTTATATTGATGAGGGAAATTTTGAGAATTTTTTCCTGATCCTGCATGACCGGATTCATCACCACTCTCCATGATTGATATGCTTGATTAACAGCAAATAAGTAGATCATCTGATCACAGCTAATATTTGTTGTTCATTAAAATGCTGTAAATAATTTTTCACTGCAATGTTTTCTTAATATCAGCAACAACAAGAAATGAGTACTGCGGCGGATGAATGTACCGCAGGGTACAGTCGTTTTTTCAGAGGTAGTTATGATTGGATCATTTCAGGATGTATAGAAGGAAATACAGAATGACATCTCAAAGTATATAGGGCCAAAATAGTGTCAGGAAGAAAGGTACATAAGGAATTCTTGTCAGACAATGGACGGAAATGATCGATTGGCCAATAAGGAATCTTTCCAGGCCAAAGATCGATTGAAGTCATTTTTTGTAAAACCCACTCCTACTATTATTGCTACTAATTGGTTTAAATTGACAGCACTTAAGTTTCTAATTTAATTAACGAATTACTTCCTTTCTAACTCCAATAAATTCAATATGTATTTGGCGACAATTTTTAGTACCAAAAATCAAATCCTTAATTTACTCCCTATATTTAAACTTTTTTTCTAGAAATAATTTAATCTGTAAGAAGTAGAATTTAGTAACTAGTATAACTATTAGTTAGAGAAGAATGTTTTTTCATCTAGCACAATCTTTCCTACTGTCGGAGGAGTATGCAAAGCGATAAAGTTGGCGAAAAGAAATGAAACCAAAGCAGAAAATTTGCATAAACCATCGAAATTTACAAGGAAATGAAAATTGCAATTGATCACAAATATGTAATGCCCAAATAGCCAGTATGAAATTTGATGAAGTGAACAGTAGCAACGTCTGCAGCATGCTTTGCACGAAATCCTGCATCATCATCAAATAACCGGTCTAAAATTAATGGTACGGTAGAGTCGGAGATTTTTATCGATTGATCAAAATTATTGATTATCCGTTTGTTCAAAGGAATAGATAGAAAATGAAATATGTCTTTAAATTTCATTTTATCCGCGATATTCTCAAGTCTACATGAATTTAGAACAAAACAAAGGTAACTCATGAAAAAATCACCATTAATATAAGACACGAGATAAGCAGTAGATATTTCTTGCTAATGTCCAATCCTTTAAAGTAATCTCTTTCCTTGGAAATTGTTATCTCATTCTTTTCCACCTCCTCCTGCTTCAAAGGTTCATACCGACAATTCAGATACTCTCGACAGGCATTTTCCACACGTTCTGATAGCACTCTGAAAAAAGCATATAACTTGTGCGATATGTTTCATTACTAATTACAATCAGAATTAAAATGTAGTGTACATAGTTTATGTAAATATGATTTTACGTCGGAATAAGACTATCATTCAATCCAAGGAAGTAAACATTTCGAATAACTCGAGTAGTTTCTTCGTGAAATCAAAAGACTATGTCTCATTCTCTTTCTTAGTTCTTTTTGCGCAATTACAATTACCGCCATTAAGATCTCGTTAATCCAAGGAAGTGATTTGGTTTTTGCCCAGGGATAGATAAATTCATTCATCAACTGATATTGATTGCTTTTCTTTCATCTCTCGGTTTCTTTTTTTCTATTTCCTTTACTGTGATTGGAGCGTCAACGAATGTCATCTTCTACTAAAAATCTGCTGATTTTAAAATTTCATTCAACTACGAGATAAAAAAAATTCCTTCTCATAAAAGGAAACAATATATTTGGCTCAAAAATAAATTTGAATATTTACCCTTTCAGTTGTGCAATGATACTAATATAATGTGGTACGAATGCGATACTTTTCTCCCTCAGAATGGCATCTGCAATTTCGCATGCACAACGATCAATCGACATGAATGGTAACCATCTGCAATGTCAACAACACATTGGTGAAATTCCTCTGTACTCCGTTAGCGCCCTCAAATATCTTGTCCTACTTACCTTTCATTATCCTCTAATCGTATGAAGATGAAAGAAATAAAGGAGCTAATTAATAACAAAATTAGTGTAACAATTAAGTACACTATTAGTTTGTTAGAAGTGATATGATCGATAGAAGCTTACATTGATGTGGGTCTCATTCGTAGATTCAGAATCATCGGTGTTCGCGTAAAGTATGGACATACTGTTGTGCATCGTATACCGTTCAAGCCTCTATCTTTCATTTCCATTTCCAGGCATTGCATCACACCTCTAATGGCAAATTTCGTACTGCTGCAAACGGAATGACGTGTAAGACAGTATGAGGAATTGAATTCCTCATTCCAGTGATTGGACAGTCTTCCAGCAGTTATAATTGGAAGAGCCGGTGATACATTTGATGGAATCATTAGACTGCTAGCAAAATCAGTTTCCTCCGGATTCATATGCCATAGATGAGTAGCTGTATTTTGAACAGTAGTAAGATGAGAATAATTATGATCTGATCGAACAGAGAATAAAAAGTTCCAGATGATATCTAAGAATTAAAGTGGCAAATGAATACGTGATTTTTTTCGCAATACTCTATCTTTTTAATATCAGTGCTCCGTGTAATTCGTATGTTTCAGGCATTCCCCAAGCGTAGGTGCATAATTAACTTAATTACTAACCAATATGCAATACCGTTTGTTTCACCACAGAAACCAGCAATTGATGAAATTGCAACAATCTGTCCTTCATTTCGTTCCTCCATTGACTGAAGAAATGCTCGAATTGTCTATAAAGGCACACTTAGTACCAATAAGATCCATTATATTCATTTAGTAACAATAAGATCCATTATTAGATTTTATTTTCTTCATTCACTCCATTCCCAAATTTTTATCCATCACATTCTGATAATCACTCGAAACAGTCAGTTGTTTCAACTTAAGTAAGTAATTAGCATGGAGCGAAAATCAAGCTACAAATTTGAATTTATGATTATTAATTCATTTCACTGTTTGTTAATATTTGTAGCTGGCATACCGATAATAATATAGAGGAAAGTCAGGACTGGAATACCAAAATACCAGAACTACTCGAGCATTCAGTGGATTCAGTGTGTTTTCTTGTTGGTAGCAAAATTATGCATCCAATTGTTCAACTTTTTATTTTGACTCATTTAGTGCTTTGACTATACAGGTGGGACCTATGTCTTTTGCAGTTTTTCTTTAAATAAATCACTCTGGGTTGAAATAATTGTGAAGTGGAATGACAGCTTTGACTATTTATTGCGCTTTTCCAGGTTAAAAAAATGAAATCATTTAATTTTCGCTCAAATAAACATACTTTCTGTAGAGAAATTCGAAGGAAAATAAGGAAAAAAAATCCCCGAATTCCAAAATTTATAAACAAACATTAATCGTTCCCATCACATTGACATCGAGCGATTTCTGAAGTTGACAAGTCGTCAAATCTAGCATTCCACCGATATACAAAACGGCTGCATTGCAAATTATGATATCAACATTTCCTGAAATTCACTGAAATCTTTTTGTTAAAACTTGTCCAATTTACTACTTCTTCCATGCTTCAGTTTTCTTTGACATTTGCGCTCCTTTTACCTCCTGCAATTGCCATATCGAAAATATTCTCCGCCCCTGTGATTTCATATTCCTGTGCTAACTAAATAGAAAATGAAACAAAACAAAAACCGAAAGTACCAATTAACCAATTAAAGGAAAAAAGCAGTAAGATGGAGATCAGAAACAACTATGACAAATGAAATGCGATCATACCAAAGGTGACATTAATTTGTCGTGCACATTCATTAACCTCCTCTACCTGGCTTATGTCACATTTCCAACACTGCGCAATACCACCACTTCCAACAATGTTGTCCACTGTTTCCTGTGCACCATGCTATAATAAAATACGGATTTTTGGACTTCATCTTTGGTTAGTTTGCAAGTTTTATGAGTTAATTTTTGCACAATTATGGGCTGTAACAAAAATGCCGCTGATAAAGAAAAAGTGTTTGATAGCTGAACACTTACAATATTTTTATGTGTCACTAATAGAGAGTACTATTTAATACAGTCTCTTATCAAGCTGATAATTGATAAGAAGCGTCTACTAGCATAACGTTTTGAGACATCCATCAAAACGAAAGAGGTTGGCTCAATGTTGTTTTCAAACAGGGCACTATGTCCGGTTTGAATGTCAATTTTACTTCCGGTATAAATGTGTGTAAATTAAGGAGTGGGTCTGCTAATAATATGTCCTATACGGGAAAATCGTCGAGAATAACGTAGTGATAGCTCGAGATGACATGTTTTTTTTTCTTGAACCAATAAAAATATGGAAGCAGTGAATGACAATTCAAAAAAGTCAAAGAAGCCAAGTTATTATGTTAGAATCTTTATCAGTAACAGAGTTAATGAATGATACATTTGTAAAGTTGACATTTCACAACATAGACAATTCAATTAATGATAAATTATGAATAATACTAATAAGGGCAATTTACAACAAATTCCAACTATCAAAGAATTTCGTTCATGTTTTTTTTTTTCTCGAGGCTATGAAAAATAACTTACTTGATTGATATCCAAAATAGCAACTTTAGCTCCATATCGAATGGCGAATAATTCAGCTAATCGTTTACCAATACCAGATGCAGCGCCTGTGATAACAATGGTGCGTCCGTTAACGGATTTCAAACTGGATCGAATCCAGTACCAAAAATCTAAAGGGCCAGCCACAAACAGTACATGAAGGAGCATACCAATGCTACTGTAAAATCTTTCCTTGCCGGAAATTTTCGCCATTTATTGCAGTTTCAATTAACAACAATTGCATAAAAATTTTCTTCAACTCGATAATAGACGAACTCCCGTTGACTCAAATCCAACAATAATGGCAAGGCAGAATTGACAGATTCATCATTCTCTATATTACATCATTAACGTAAGATGACAGCATCACTGCGGCGATATTTTGAATGTGACTGAGAATGGCAATGTCATCTGCAGTGTACAATAACAAGTTTACTTTCAATTGTATTGATTTGAACACATATCTCACACCACCACCGTCAATCACTATTATCATCGACAATGGCATCTCTCTTCAATTCTCTTATTTTTTTGTACCCATAATTGCCCAAAATCAGGCCAACAATGATTATTTCATCTTCTCATCCTTTCAGCTTTTAATATTATGCATAGTATTGTCTGATCAAAATTTTCGATCAAAACTTTCCTTTCCATTCAAGTTTTTTGAGATTAAGTAAAATTTAGGGGATTTTTTTTTCAATTTATTTTTTCGTCCTTTGAACTGATTGTTCCAAAGCGGATAAAAGCATTGCAATTTACTTCAGCATTTTTTACATAGAGGTGGAATGCTTTGTTTCTTCCTGGCATCAACACATATGCTTAATGACCTGTGAACCGCCAACAGGAAAGAAAAAAGTTTAAAAAAAAGTTGTAAATGCGATCAGTTAGATAAGCTATGATGAACAGTCGGTCTACTTGATGGACATAGCACGATTCCTCTACCTTGCCAATGCCCAAAGGGGACATAGTTATCAGCATTACCATCACTGTTAAGACTCATCTTATGAACTTATCTCAGCTGCCCAAGATAACCTTTGTTTACACTTGCAACAGTGGACATCAGTGTACTCATCGTTGTTCTCAGTATTCATTGGCTATTGAAGTATAGAAAGAAAGGCGAAATTCTAAAAAAAAAAGTTTTTTTTAAAATTTTTAATTTTGCTACTCGTGTCCTCACAGTTAAATTTTAAAACAGAGGTAGGAAGGCAGACAGTGACACAGACCAAATGTCCGGGAAAAGTGATGAACTTCAACAATCTTCAATCTCATCTTTAATAGCCATGTACTTTGAACTTACGTAATGGACCACACGTTGTATCAATACCACAACGTGTTTGGTCACAAAAAAAAGAATTTTGCATTGCCACTATATGACAAATATAAAATAGTAATTGGAAAATGACAAAAAAAAAAAAAAAAATAGGAAAAGTACGGAAGAAATTTCTTGAATAAACGTAATATTAACGTGAAACCGCGTTATAACATATTAATAATCATGGAATACCATTTAAATTGTTCTGTTATGCAGAGTTTCTGAAGGATGCGTGTTTTCTGAAGGAATCATTCTGTTGAATGAATCACTATATTTTGAATGGTAAAGAATAACATCTGTTCAATGTGGAACTGCCTTTCTTCAGATAAATGAGTTCGATAGATCAGCGGAGATTCAGGCTCAAAAACGTAGCTTGTGCTGATCATGTACTGTATTGTCTTGTGATGAGTTGCCAAGATGAATTTCAGCTACAGTATGAATCGAACTAAATGAATATAGGTAACAAAAAGATAAAACGAATTGAGATTGGCTAATTTTTGTGAATCTCATTCATCTGAAATATAAATAATTGTAAAAACTAATCTCACAATGATTTCATATCAGCAAGAAATATGATACGCGATGAGATATATCCATAAAAATAGTAATATGATGCTTCAAAGATGTGAATCTATGACAGAAATTCTAGCGTGACACGTCCAAAAAATATTTGCGGAAAATTCCAGGAAATATCTGTGGAGAATCCTAGAAAATATCTGCAGGGAATTCCAGAAGATCAGTGCAGCTAATTGACATTGTCAATAACAGCAAAGAAGATGAGTTCTCTGAGATCACAGATCATTCTCTTAAAAACCTCCCGCAATCAAAGGATTTCTCAGCATGCATGAAGTTTTACAGTTGGTTCACCTCTTTTTCACTCTGTACCTTCCAAACATAAAATAAGACGCACGGGTTCGTAGTCCAGCGAGATTGCCGTTTAATTTCAAATTTGAAGTTATCCTTGCTCGACCGGTGGTCAGAGTTCTGGTGATGGAGGGTGTGTCGGACGCAGATCGGAAAGTGGAAATAGTTAGTTAATTTGGTTCGATGTTGAAATGAAATGGCAATAGTAGAATGGATTAGATGTGATAATGTGTCTATGATGAGCTAAATCTTGTCTTTTGCTTAATGAATGATGGTTTTCATTAGCTGTCATCCAAAAGCAAGACCAATAATGATATGGTTAACTTCCATTTTCTTAGCATTATTAGGAAGGCTTCTTTCTTTATCCTTGCAAAGATAATTCACTTTATCAGATTTTCATTTTGAAGTACTTTTCATTCTTTTTTCTTGGTGACAAGGCAGTTTTCGAATTTTAGTGGAATTTTGAATTGTTTTTTTGTCAACTTTTGCCAAGTCTTTTTCAGCTAGATGCGGATTCGCTTCGTTCAGACCCCTCAAATTTAACGGTGATATTATATGAGGAAGATCATACTATTGGCAATTCGCTAAAACATATCTTATGCAAAATGTATGTTACTTGTCAGTCAACATTAAATTGCCATATATATTTTGACATTAACTAAAAGTGAAAGTTTAAAGTTGAAACAGGAATACTGAATAGACTAGGAATGAGTTGGGGTAGCGATCTGAGCTTAGTATGCTTATCATTTCATTTCATTCACTCATAACGTACAGACACACACACACACACACACACACACACAGTGGAGCGTTGCAGCAAATAATTAATCATTACCTTGATTGGTATTTTGATCATTTATCTTTACTTTGATATAATTGTTCCACTTGAATGTTGATCGATTTGATTCTCAAAAGGATGGATATAGTGTATTATTTGGGAAGTAGAAGAAAGAGTATATAAATTTCTTGAAAAATAGTTGTGAAGCGTGACGGGAAATCTCGAATTAACTACAACGGGAGTACCGATTTCTTTTTGGAATACCAATTTTCCATTAATAATATTTCGAGGCATTTTAACTGCTGTTGAGAAAATATTTTTAGGCGAGATGTCGAATTCTGCGGTTACAATGTGCCTCATCCTTTGGAGGATAAAATCTTAATCCGTTTGCAAACGAAACGTGGTGTACCAGCAGCGGATGTGCTTATGAAGGGTTTTGAAGAATTGGAATGCATTTTTGGTTCAATAAGGCAAAAATTTGATAGTTCTTATGCGTCATATAAGGCGAATACTATTAGCTGAGATGGATTCGACTTTTTAATAATGAAATTCCAGTCCTTTACTAACAAAAACTGGTATTCTGTTATGGGCTAACTTTATCTTATTGCTGCGTGATCTCTTAACTTAACTGTTTGTTTGCGTGAAGAGTGTTTGTTATTCGGAAAATTGTGACTTGTTATTCCTAGATTTTATTTGATTAAGGGTTAGCCAACCATTTTCCTATTAATGTATGATATTGTATAGCGCTGTTCTGTTTCGTCTACTAACGTTTCCTGATTTGAATGATTAATGAATGGGTTGTTAGAAATTTCGTGGATCATGCTTATCATACGTAATGGGAATTTTCAAATAAATAATTTTAAGTATGTTCCGTCTTTATCATTCGTCAGTACATTTGTTGCTTCCTTAAGTATTTTTTTATAATTTATATTCGAGATATCTGGGTGATATTTTTGGTTGATAAGAAGAATGAGGTTTGACATACCCTGGATTTTACCCATCCGAAACAAAATGTCAACGGTTGAGGAACACACAGTAACTGATTTGTACTGTAAATGATAAGTGAGAGTTCAATGATCATCGAATTCAATTTTTTGTACTTATGGTAGGTATGCCGAGTGAAATAATTGCTGTACAATTTGGACAATGTGGAAATCAAATAGGTGACGCATTTTGGCGCGCACTATGTGCCGAACATGGTATTGCATCGAACGGTGTTCCTATACAAAGTGACCTTGATGCTAAGGACTTGAAACGTGTTTTCTTCTATCAGGTACATCCATGATCAGATATGGAAGGATCTATACAATTCATTGCAATGAGTCTTTTTCTTTATTCGAACTTTCCTCTGAAGACGTTTTTCCTTGTGCATATAGTGTTATTTCCACTCTGGAAAAAATTTTAAATTTCTGATTTCTTGAAATTTAGCTTATATTGATAATGATAGGCGGACGATGAGCGCTATGTCCCACGTGCCGTTTTGGTGGACTTGGAACCACGTGTTATCAATGGTATTATCACTTCTGATTATCGTACACTGTACAATATGGAGAATATCTTTATGTCTAAAAGTGGTGGTGGTGCGGGGAATAATTTCGCTAGTGGTTACAAGCAGGGAAGGTGAGATTTCTTCTGAAATATGAATGAAAATACCGAAAGTGAGTAGGTATGTTTTCCTGAGTCATATCCTAAACTACTTTTTAGGGAGAAGTAGTAGTGCTCTTTCGATTTGCTTAAATTTTTGGGTTACATTACTTGTCAGCGGACGGGAATTTGTTCTTTTAGTTAATATTTTTGGCAATTGTTCTTTACCTTTAATAAAATGTATAACACTTTTAAAATGAAGTTACTTGTATAAAAGGAGAGAATCACCCTGAGTTTTGTCGTTTGATATATAAAATTGAGAGGTTCGTGGGGACATAAGCAATTCATTTGTCCTGATTTCTAATTAAAAAAAGATGGCATCACGATTTTAATTATATAAAACAGAATGTTGTAAGGGAAGCGCAAGAAGCGTTGTTTGATATTCTTGAACGCGAAGCTGAAAACAGCGATTATCTGGAAGGATTCATGTTATGTCATGCTATAGCTGGTGGTACTGGCTCAGGAATGGGATCTCATGCGCTGGAAAAAATAAGTGACAGGTAGATTATCTTCTACTTAATGCAAGAAAGAAACCGTATTAATATTACAGTTAATAATATATAAACGTTTAATAGAAAATGGCAGTGATCAATTTCGAAACTGTTTCATGTGAACTTTACAGATTCCCGAAGAAATTAGTTCAAACCTACTCGGTTTTCCCTGTAATGAAGAAAGGTGAAGCGAGTGATGTGGTAGTACAGCCGTATAATTCTATTTTGACATTGGCTCGATTAATTGAACATCCAAATTGTGTAGTTGTTCTGGATAATACAGCTCTTCATCGAATTGCAAGTGAAAATGCACCGGATAGTAATTCATCATTTTCTCACATAAATTCCATGGTAATTTAATAGAAATGTGGATCTACACAGACTTGTATTTTGTTAGATCATGAGCTATGATAAGATGTCCTCGTCGATGACCGTTTGTTAAACAGATTAATTTTTGTGTCTTTTTCGCCTTTAACATGAACCTCATTAATTGCACGTTACGATGTACACATAGGCAGGAATTTTGAAATTTGAATTTAATTTACACGAGAATTTAATTTGTACAAGAGGTTTGAATTTATTAATGTAGGTTTCGCGAATTATGTGTGCATCAACAGCAACGCTGCGGTTTCCTGGTGCCATGAACACTCGGCTGATCAACCTGATTGCTCCATTGGCTGCATACGCGCCAATGCGTTTTATCCAAACAGGTTATTTTTATGCTGCAAAGTATGTAGCCCATATGCAGTTTCATTGCTCACCCTTTGTATTTTAGTTGAACTTTTTCGATTTCGAATCCAATCCATGCCTTACATGTCCATATTGCTCTATATTATCCTTTAAATGGATTCTCTTTTGGTGTATTTATCTGGTTGGCAAGGAGCTTTTTTGATTTCTCACCCAGCCGATGAGTTGATACCCACGTAACCACACTGGAAAACTTGAAAAGATGGGAATTGATGTTTGAGAAATTCCCTGCTTTGAATGTACGTATCTATTTAGGTTTTACACCACTTCGTGAAGGTGATACTACGGTGATGAAAACTTCAGTTGGCGATGTACTTCGACGTTTGTTGCAACCAAAAAGTATGATGAGCAGCGCTGTAATGGAAAAAGGAATTGATCATTGTATGTTATCCGCCTTGGCTATTCTGCAGGGTAGAATTGATCCGACTGAAATTTATTCATCACTGGCGAAGATTAAAGAAAGACGTGATATAAAGTAAGCTCTGTTAGATCTTTTGCTCGACTGTATCAATTAGTATTTCATTTCTTTGCGTGTTTAACCCTTAGTTAGCCCAATCAGTGAGTGAGTGGATTAAATGAACGGAATAAATGGACATTATTCCAGAGATCCATACATTGCTATCCACAAATGCACTACATTAAATAATAGAGCTTAGGATATCCTGGTGAATTTTATCTAGCATTACTTTTTTCAAGAGTAATTTAAACAAAGTTTGCAGGTTTGCTCCATGGGGTTCAGGTTCGCTAAATATAACTCAGTGTCGTCGTTCGCCTTATTTGCCAATGACAAATCGAGTTTCCGGATTGATGCTTTGTAATCACACAAATGCAGCAAGTCTTTTTCAAGAAAGTTTGAATCAGTGCGAAACGCTGCTCAAAAAGAAAGCATATTTGGATCAGTTCTTAAAAGTAACGATTATTCTCTGAATAGTCTGCAAAAGCTTTGTATTTTCGATGCTTTACTTGTCCTATTAGGGAAATGCCGATTACTAGCCATGTTGGGAAATTTTTAATGAAGAGTAACATAGCTTGAGCTTTCAAATTCGCTTACTCCCTACTTATTTTTCAAAAATCTCTCCCTTCCTAATACGAAAAAATCACTCATTTCTTAAGAAAAGAAAAATAGGAATTTCTTTTTTCTACTGACAATGAATAGTGAAGTATTTAGAATTAGGATTTTTGCAAATTAATTAGTGATTATTGCCTTAATATGACGAAAGTGGGTTTCCAGGAAGATCCGGATATTATGGCTATGTTGAGTGATGCAGTTGAACGTGTCAGAGAAACTGTCCAAACTTATAGAAATGCAACGAAGCCCGACTTCATAGAAATAAATTAAGATATCATTTTTCATACAATATTAGGATTTTGATCAAAAGGTAAAGCTGCTTTTGCTATTAAACACTGGGATAGGAGGAAAGAGGAGTACTATTTATATGAAAGATTTTCTAAACCTATATAAAGACGATTTCTTCCATGACTTTTTTCCTACTGCCATAACAACCAACACTGAAATGAGACTTAGGAAAGTACGTATGGTATTTAAAAGGCTCATTGCTTCACTGAGCTTAAAGTTTTCTTACCTTACTGTTTAGCGAACAGTACGAGTATTTTTTTTAGCAAAATTAGCTTGACTATGGTTTTAAATGAACTATGGTTTTTTTTTACTTGGTTGAATTAATTAACTCAAGTTTTACTTGGGAGAATTAATTAACTCATATCTGTACAGTGTTCCCTTCATTCTTTTCGCTTACGTAAGAAATGATCTCCACGCGACAACAATGATTATACGTTTTGTGACCAATATAGTTCAAATTTATTATGATGATTATGTATGGGATTACGCATAATCATTATAACGAATTTCAACTTTCTTAAAAGTTTTGGTGCTTTTGTTAGATAACATCTTAAAGTGCCTCTGGACTATCGCTTATTTCTTTATTGCTGCCGTATTTCTTAGCTCTTCTCAAAAGTAATTTATGAAAAAATTTTCTTAGTTATTTGCTCAAAACTCGTGATTTCTACATTTGATCAGTGAAATTCTGAATCTTAAATGTGCGCATTTTAAAGGTCTTAGAAATTGTGCCAAGTCCATCCTGTCCTGTTTCATCATCTTTTAACAAGAGTACGATCTTTTAGAAGTTTAACTTGATGTAGCCGATTGCCGAGATCGGATAATAATTAAATTCAAATTTGCTTTAGCAATTTCTATTTTATTACTTTTTTCCGAAATAAAAGATGCAAGTAGCTGTAACATTGACCTATTCGTAACGAGGGATTCAGGACCTGGTTATTGCTGAATTTCTTGTTTCACCTCGTTCTCTATTCGAAGGACTTAACGGCGGGCTGCAACAAAGCAAATGTATCAAAGGGTCCGGAAATAGATTTCGATTGGTTTCTTTTTTCTTTCAGTAACTCTGACTAAAATTAAACAATTTTTCGACCCTATACCAATCAGCTCTGTGTCGTTAGCATGGGATGTTACTGTATTGAAAGAACACGCGGAGTGCAATAAAATATCAAAGCATTCTGTTTGATCTGATCAATAAAATCAGATTGGGTTTGAGTGATTTGGATTGCTTCACTGTATTCTAGATGCATTGAAAAATCTCAACTGGAAGCATATGGCTATTCAGTTCCTTTACTACTGATTTTGGTCCGAGGTGGTAATCTCATGCTTAAATAGCTGGTGTGTATGATATCTTCTCTCACTGTTCCCGAATTAATTACAATATTTGGATACTGTTGATTTACCTAGTTTCCGGTGTTCGTGGTATTCCTTCATTAATTTTTAAATCCTCCGGAAATAAAATATATTTCCCGTTGAGTTTGAAACGCTTACACATACCAAAGAAATCGAAAGTAGATGTGCTGGAAAGTTTAATATGTATACAATCATGCCTTTTTGGATTAGAACCGGATAATCTTTACCCAGATTCAGTGTGGGTTAACCTCGAGGAGGAAGTTCAAGATTTCAAGCCGTCAAATTAGTCCATCGAATCCATCTGGTGATTACACTACTACTAGTCATACCTTGAGACGAAACAATTATTGCATTTCAATTCCTTGCGATCCTTACTTATCCAAGAAGTATTTCCATAAAGAAAACCACAAGAACAAAAGAAGCATAAGTACTTACTCAAAAGAGTTAAGCATATTGGGGATGTTAAGGAGCGCTTTCAAAGTTCTTGTTAATTTCTCGCCATGTAAGCCGTACCAATCTCGAGTTGACATTCCCACAACAAATGCCAAAATGCCCAAAAGAACTTGTTCTGTTCTTGCATTTCGCATTGCATGCCATACAAAACAGTTCAGCAGCAAACTGTATTTCGGGAATTGCTACTTAATGAGAACTGGCAGGAGAATGATGTTGGACAGATAAGGGATTGTTTAGAATGAATGAAATGAGCAATTTTATGTGAGGGGATTTGAAAAGAAAAAGAAAACTAACCAAATGAATCCTAAACTAAAGAGTACTGCTATTGTTGCAAGTAACCGAGTTTGTACGATTTGCTTTTTCCTGGGGAAAAAAAAACCTGAATTAGTCTTCTTCCATTTGTTCAGAGAGAAATTTATGGTTTAGTTTACATTTCGAATGCTCATATTCTATATTCTACAGATGTACATGACAAACTTTTAAATGAAAATGATATTTCATAAGAGAAAGGAAATATGGGTAATATGAAGTTTGAACGATGTTAAAGCTTGATGGCAATATATATTACTAAAAAACGACAGATACGACTTATGTGAACACGGAGACTGAAGTGGATCCGGATAGAATAGATTAGTTGTAATAATGCTATTGCAAAAGAAGCCAAGAAGCGATGGAGCCAAGAAGTTATGAAGCCAAGAAGTGATTCCACGCTAAATTCTTATCATCTGTACTTTGATGACAGTTTTGTGTTGAATTCCCTAGTAACCTTCAATTTCAAGAATACTTCAACTAGTTCAAGAGTTATTATTGAGGGATGGCTTTGTACCGAATTAACGAATAATTCTGATGATTTTAATAAGTCCTGAGTTTCTCAGCTTACATTACTGATATTGATGTCGGTGACCTGCTTCGCATATCCGGTTCAGAAGTTGCTCCTTCAAGAAATGCTACATCTGATGTCGTCAAGTTTAGCTTTACATGACCACTAAAAATCCATATTAATATCAATTGACAAATAAGTTAGCAATCATTTTAAAACTGGAATGTAAATTTTGTCGCGACTGTCGTACATTTTGAAGTGATGATGACAACAACAGTGAATGACTGATTTCATTGGGGATAAATTTATCATCACTGATAATTATTAAAACAAACTGATTCTCTGATTTCTAAGAAAGTCTTGCTTGGACCTACATTATAAATCATTGTTGAAAAATATATATAATAATGATGTGTCAAAGTTATCCATTAATATATAATATTACCTATCCGGAAATTCATACTCCGGAATGTCTCGTTCATCTTTCATATAAGCGGTAGCTATTGCTTTACCGACCTTTCCGTTTTTTGCCATAGTAAAACAATGCGTTCTCTTCAAAATTACTCGTACATTTTCAATAATTAAATTTAACCGGAAAATTTGCATATCCACATAAATATCATCAGAAATTTGATGTATTTCAGAGTAACCGATCATTTCTCTGGCTTTTCAAGATAAATTAAGCAATATTCCAGATATAATCATGTATAAAGCTCTAAATACGTAAGCCAAACAAATAGTGACAAAAGAGGTGACTCTTCATTTTCCAGTCCTCGTTGTTTTCCGGCATCCAATAATTCCTCTTATCATTAGAACTTTTCAATTTAATATTTTATAATTTGCCCTAAACACTCTGTGCATCTTTGCAAGTTTCAAATTTTTTTTTCCACGAAACATTCACCAAAATATCGAAAGTACAACGATTTTCCATTTCATTTTATTCCTAATTTCTAATTAGGTTTTTAATATTTGGAAAAATTGCAACTTATCGTCACCTCGAATTGAGCCATAACTGGTTTATCCAGTAGATTATATCATAACATCACCCGGAAAACAACTTCCCTCCGGCTTCTATTCACAGTAAGATAACTTTTCTTTGGCTATTCGTGCCTGGTTCTTCTGAACTTATTGCAAAATGACTACTTCTTTCAGGAATTATTTCCGTATTGACCGTTTTTTGTTGATTGGTTGTTTTGATTTCGATGTCATCAATACGTAAAGACTTCCACTTTTTTTTTAGGATTTTCAATATTTTCACACATTTATCCTGTAATCTTTACGCTGGTATTTTCTGGAATAAGATGAAAGATTCTCTCAGCTAAAATATGTTAATTAATATAAGCAAATCTCTCTTTTCAGTAATTTTATGTGATTTCAAAAAATTTTTCGAAATCTTCGTCTTATCCTCGAAGTGATAATTCGTGGAAAAGTTAAAAGCAATAGCAGATTTTGATGACTAATGATAACTTCTTTTCCTATTTATTTAGATTTAACAGCTTTTTTAGAAAGTATTCATGTAGTAATATTGATGCCTTCTAAATAATTTTCTCTTTTCTGATAATTTTCGAGCAATTGCACATCTTTACTTTACTTATTTGGTGATTATTGCATTGATTATTAGTGAACGTATTTTCACACCCTATTCAGACATCAACATTTCATCATCTTATCAATTCTATTTTTTAAGATAAAGCAATGGTACGAGTATTCGTGAAATGGGGGAAAGAACGATTCGAATTGGATGCAAATGTGGACGACTCACCGCTTCAACTAAAATCACAATTATTTTCATTAACAGGTGTAAATCCCGACCGACAAAAAGTACTCGTTAAAGTAAGCCAAACTTTCTATATATTGATCTCTTTTTAGTTAATTTATTGTGTTAAGAATACTTGAAAGGTTGTTTGTAATAGTTGCATCACTTATCTGTTACTCTTATCAGTGATGTATTATTAAATGACTGTTTCCTACATCCTTTTTACGTTACATCCAGTCTTTTTCAAGATTTGCTAAGTGATGCAATTATGTACATTGTATTGAAAAAATATGTAATATGTTCACATTATATCAAATTCCTATGTTGTTAAGCGTTATTATAAATTGCGTTAAATGGAATGTGTTTCATTAGATTATCAAGCATTTACAGATTATTCATCCATTTAGCAAAGCTTAATGCTGGACTTCAGTCTGTGATTGTTATTTTTGTCATGTTACGTAGTGTCACGTAAACCATCTAGCAATAAATCTCTTGTGTTTAAAGATTTAGCGCTAGTTGGTTTACTGCTCGCTGTACAACGAAAATAAATTTCCTAGTATTTAAATGAGTGTGAAAATATGTGGATGAGTGAAAAGAAAACTTGAAAAATCTTTATGTTTAAATTTATCTCTTATCTCGAGGCAGTAGAAATTTTATTTTTTCTAAGAAATAATAGAATGTTTTTGATGATTTATTCATTTTTGTGATGTTTATTCATTCTTGCAATGCTTATAGGGTAAAATTCTTGGTGATAACAGCTGGGATGGCTGTGAGTTAAAAGACGGTATGATGATGATGATGATTGGTAGTGGTGGCGTGGTTCCATCACCACCACCAGTTAGCCGTCCAGAGGAAAATTCTAACGGTATGGAAGCTGAGGTGCGTATTTTTCTTCCTTTTTTTGTGAATGAACGATCGTTTATTGTTGGAATCCAAATCAGAAAGTTGATGACTTAGCTATTCGATGTACTGCTGTTCTTAATGATTTTTTATATTTCCAGACATCAAATTCAATCGTCCTGCCAGCAGGTTTGAAGAATCTAGGCAACACATGTTACCTGAATGCGACTTTGCAGTGTTTCAAGGTAGGTAATGCATGCCTGTTGTTTAAAATAAAATTATTTACCAAAAGTAATTTTGGCATCTCACACTCTCCAGTTTAGGTAATACCGGAATTAAGGGAAGCGCTAAATAAATATTCTGAATCAGTCCAAAGTGCATCCGTTGATAGTGAGGGTGGATCAAAAGCTCTTACAGCTGCTGTTCGTGATTTATATCGGATGATGGACAACCAAAAGTCAAAAAGCTATGGTGGTGTTATTCCACTTATTATGATACAGGTTTGTTTAATGATTAATTGTATAAACCGTCGAAGTTTTTTTTTTTTCTTCAGCAGTAAAATGAACATTTTTCGACCTGTAGGCTGAGTTGTTTAGCATTACAACTAGTATTGTCAGTTTATGATATGGTATGTTGCAAGAAATTTTAGAATTGCTGACAAGCACTATCATAGGTCGGTGAAGCGACTTGATTTATTATTGCTTTCTACATTTGGTGAGTAGTCGGGTCTTACATTAAATGAAATTTTCGGGACAGTTTTCAATTATATGTTATCAGTTTTCAATTATATGTTAGTTTTCAATTATATGTTATCTGTTAAAGGTAGTGCATAATGTCCTTCCACAATTTGCGGCACGTGACGAGCACGGATGGATGCAACAAGATGCAAACGAATGTTGGACTGAACTACTTCGAGCTTTTCAGACGCAATTAAAATTTACTGGTCTTTAAGTTTTGATCTATTACTGAAAATATTCCTCTAATTTTCAATTTCCTTTGAGCAAAATAAATAAGCTTAGGGATGTTTTCATATCGGAAAGTTTTAGTAGCAGAGTAAAAAATGCATTATCTTTTAATTGCGTGATATTACTACGAATAAATTTCTATTCAAAATTTCTTTATAAATAATTTGTCTGGTATGCTAGTATATTATTTTCTTCCTATAGATCACGAATCAGATTCAAAGGATCATTTGAAATCCATAGTTTCGAGATATATGGAAGGTAGGTTCAAGATTGAAATGAAGAATTTGGAATCCGATGTTGAACCTGTTAGTGTCACAAAAGAATCTTTTTTACAGGTAAATCCTTTTTTCCCTACTCTTCTTTTGTTTTTGCAGAGGAAAAGAGGAGTGATAAATCTGTATAAATTAATCTAATTCCAGAATAACATATTTTGTCTAATATTTTTATGAAAATCACTTTCATTCCAGCTAAGTTGTTTCCTTAGCCAAGAAGTCAAGTATATGCAACTGGGCATTAAAAGTAAATTAACGGAGGAAATTACCAAAAAATCAGTAGTGCTTGGTCGTGATGCTAGATATGAAAAGAAGACTTTGATTGATCGCCTTCCGGCATATCTATCAATACAGATGGTTCGGTTTTTCTATAAGGAAAAGGATAAGGTGAGGTTCAAGTTTTTAAATTAAGTTTGTTTGTTATTATTTGATGATTTGACGTGGATAAGTGCTTGGACATCCCACGCTTCAAACAGTAAAAGTTTTGCGTGTAATTTTAAAGATATTCTTCTGTAGAATTTTGATTATTCCAAGGTTTTCAATTGGTTTTAAATCGATTCCGATGTATGATGTTTTTGTATTTTGCTCAATCACATGTTACAATTGTTTCAGGTCAATGCAAAGATTTTAAAGGACGTTAAATTCCCTCTTATTCTCGATTTGTACGACATGTGCACTCCTGAATTACAGAAGGAGCTATTACCGGCACGTGATGCCTTCAAAGTAACAATCTCTCTATAGATTATCTTCTTGCGAAAATATTTCCACATTTATCCTATTTGTTTTTTATTATCAAATATACCTGTATATCTAAGTTCCAAAGGACGTTTTTCCCTGAATTATTCTTAACGCATATTTGAAGTACTTTATCAAATATACACTTTATTTACTCTGTAGTATTTCCAAAATACTTCTGGACAGTTCTGGAAGACATTCTTTGTGTAATTATATGGGCCTGTTTTGCAGGAGGAGGAGGACAGGAAAATCGAAAAACTAAGAGCATCGAAAACTTCTGATGAGACAATGGTAACTTCCGGGCTTGATGAGAGTGAGAAAACCGAAAAAGCCGTTCCCTTTAGTTTCAACGATGATCCTGGGTCAAATAATAGTGGATATTATGAATTACAGGTTAGTTTATACGCCATCGCTTTATCTGAAAATATCTCCGAAAATATATCACTATGTTAACACCGAAAGACTAACAAAATTCAAGTTAATTTCTCGAAAGATGCTGGTGATATTGATGCTACACAATCGCTATTAAGTCATCTCTCCAAAAGATGTTGGTAGTCAGACAACTTTTAAACAACTTTGACAAGAAGTAGAGTTTAAATATTACAGTAGCATGTGACCTTTGTTAATAGAATAATCATCAAATGTCCATCCTTGAAATCTATCTTGTAATACAAGAGTTTCAGGGAGTTATAACACACAAAGGTCGTTCATCCAGTAGTGGGCATTATGTCGCATGGGTTCGCGTGAAAGGAAATCATTGGGCGATGTGCGACGATGAGGAAGTAAATTACTAAAATTCCATTAGTGATACCTCTGGTCAAACTAGTAGGACTTTATTTTCCTACAGATATAAGTTTTCGAATTTTCATTATCTGAGCTTTGTATCTTTTATAGGTACATCCAGTCAATACAGATGATATTTTGAAGTTGTCAGGTGGAGGTGATTGGCATTGTGCATACGTATTACTTTATGGTCCAAGAATATTGAAGAAATGAAGTTTGTGTTGTTTTTGAGTTTTGATTGCATTTGTCAATCATACATAATAGGCAACGACATCACAGGATACTTTATTATTTGATTTTATACGTAATACATTATGTGTGAAAATACACGACATATATGAACGTTTGTTGGACAGTCAGCGTTGTGTTGTTCATTTTGTCATTTCATTCCGTGTTTTGTTAAAGTGCATTTAAAAAGGGTTAATGGTAAAAACGCTAGCTAAATTTATGGGAATATTTGTGTGCGATCTGGAAGCTATTACCCTCCTATATTCAGTATTTGCTTACAGTTTCCACAACCCTTTGATTTACCTTTAAAGACTTCCAAAAAACAAAGAAGCATGGATATGTTAAGCCACAGTAAAATTTCATGAAGTCGAAAGCAATGCAATTGATTTCTTGTTCCTTCTCTGTTTTGTTTATGTAAATCATACAAAATTTGTATCTCTTTTAAATTTTCCTTTCTGATTTTTCAGGAGGAAGAATTGTTCTTGTTGAAGATACTCTTAAGTTAATATTAACTTATTTGAAACGTGCAACAATTCTTTCGAGACAGTAATTCCTTATACCTTATGTACTTTTTTTTTGTTGTTTATTTGTTGCTATAAAACTTTTCTTTCTGCTAATTAACTTTTGGAATGGTTATGCAGAAGTGGAGACGAAGAAATATTAGTCCTATTCCTTTGACATTTAACAACATTTTCAACGTTTGTATCGTGCTATCGTAAAAGCAAAAAGACCTTAACTTCTCTATAGCTATCATTTCGCGTTCGTTTATTCCCGACTGTTGGCAATGATCGGTGAAGTATTAACTTCACGTCAACTGATTTTCGTTTTTAATATGAAGAAGGCTTTTTATACAAGTAAATTGTTGTACAACTGTTCGTAAAGGCAAAAAGATTTTTTCCCGTCAAATTGGTTAAGACATAAGAGTTTGTTTATTATTAATATATTTATGGATTTGGTGGAAGTTCAGGTGTTTTTTTTTTTTCACATCGCCACCTTTTTTTGATCCAATTATTCTTGCCATTTCGGTGCACTAAAGGCGCTATGAGGCTACAAGTCCGTTTTTCAGAAGTTATGAACGCTACAAGTTTTTTTCGGGAGTTAGTGATTTACAATAATATTCACATGGATTATTGGGTTCACAGTTGGTTTGTTGATTTAGACGATATCAGATTGATCCGGTAAATTAGCATATTCTGTGGGTGACTGATTCATGATACAGGCATTGTTGCTTTAATGTCATTCAGTGGCAGTTTCAGGTCTAGGTCAGTCTGGTATGGCATAAGATAATTTAGATAGAAGTTGAAGAGCATCATTTCGTTGGTAATTATCGAATTAGGGAAAGGAATTCCCGACACCCCTTCCAGTTACTTACTATCTCTTGTTGGTAGTAAATTTTTTGAGGGAGAATTTTAGTTGTGTAGTGATTGGATTTCCACATTTACCAAAGCATATGTTTTGTTATTCATTCCATCAGGAATACTCCGTACGACTATATTTCGATAAAATTGGATATGAGATTTCAAGATATATGTTTCTGCTTTCAGCTTATCTATCATATTTGCTCGAAAGAAAAAGCTAGCATTGGTTGTATTATGTGGTTTGATCTGGACGAAAAGAAAACTTGGTGGCATAATTTGGCGAAATATTTCCTTACGCTTGGTCCAATTCCGGAACATATTGCTTTCATTATGGATGGTAATCGACGGTATTCTCGCCTGCAACGATATTCATCGTTTGTTGAAGGTCATCGCAAGGGTTTTGATAAGTTAACAAAAGTAGGAATTTTAACCTTTTTTTTGCTTACCAAAGCTCATATTGCTTAGTTTATTTTAGAAAAAAGTTTGTGACTCAAGAAATGTCAAGACAGAGTTGTTTACTGCAGGTAATGCAATGGTGTCGAGAATTTGGCGTGAAAGAAGTGACCGTATATGCGCTTAGTTTAGAAAATTTTAAACGTAGCGCAACCGAAATCGATGATTTGATGACACTATTCGAGCACAAACTTACACAACTCCTGGATGAAAGTTTGGTACTTCGCCATAATTGACTGAAAACATTTGTTGCAAGATAGTACATACATTACCTGAATTATTCCTATGAAGTAATTAAATAATTGATTGTAACAGTAAAACTATGTAGTGAAAATATTTATATACGGGTTTGGTCCATTACCAGAGAAGTCTACAATGTTTTGTAATTTTTTTTTTTTATCTCACAGTTTCATAAATGAAGTGAATTTCAGCGACTATATTTTAGGGATAAACTTATTGAAAATGATATTCGTATTCAATTTTTTGGGGATTTAAAACATCTTCCACCAAAGCTTCGGCAATATATAGCGAAAATTGAATTATTAACAAGGGAACATAACAGGTAATGGTAATCTTTCTGCTATGTTAGGAATGAGTAAATTAGGTTGTCCTGTTCACTGTCTCATCCAGAATACTGCATTTTTCTATTACTTGGAACAATCTATATAGTGTAATTTTGAAATCTTAACGCAAAAATTAGGTTAACCTAAAATATCCAGCACAGCACTGAGCAATGACGGTAATATTCCCTACTTTTTTTTTTTTAAAGGTATTTGTGTCACATGTGTTTTTGATCCTGATCCAGTATTAGATTGGTGTGGCTCCAAAATGCTGATCCAAATAATATGCTCGGAGAGAAATTCCATTTACTTCTACTGATACTTTGAAGTTAAAAAACCAACGAATGGTTGGCGTTAAGGAAATGTTCGAACTAATTTGGATATTATTATAAGTAGACTAATTAGTTGCAAATAAGATGATGAACTCATATTTCGCTTATATAATGTAGCGTAGAGATTTATGTTCTATATACTTCATGATATTTAGTGGCAGAGTGAATGTATGCATTGCTTATACAGCTCAAGATGAACTGAGAAGAGCTTTTGTTACGATAGCTCACGGCGTTCAAAAAGGTATGTTGTTTACAAACTGTTCCATAACTTAATCCGGAAGATTATTGTTTTTCAGCTTTTATTTATTTGCTAAATGAGGAAATGAAAATTGAACATGGCAATATTCACTACCGCTATTCACATCTTATTTCCCTTTGAAAAAATATCGAAAATATTTGTGTCCTAGGACTGTTGGCAACAACCGATATAAACGAATATTTGATATCACGGTGCCTTGATAGTCGCTTCTCGAATGATCCAGATCTGCTGATTAGGACTAGTGGAGAGACGCGTTTGAGTGATTTCCTACTATGGCAGGTTTGATTAGCGAAGAATCTTAATATATCATCTATGATTCCTATTTTTTTCTTTTTAAAATAACTTTTAAACATGCTCATTCACAATGTATTCTTCTTAGCTATGAAAATCTCTTTTTTTCGAGCTAGTTTTTCTTTGCTATAAATTTACCACTGCCAATATTACTTTCGCGTTACAGAACATGTTTAACTGGGAAATGAGGCTACTATCATACTTCAAATGAGAATTAGAAGAGCTTAGGAAAAAAAAATTGAATTAATTCACGTTTTCAGTGTTCCAAATGCTATATCTATTTTGATAAAGTGTTGTGGCCAAACTTTGATTACTGGAACCTGTGTAAGGCAATATATTTTTATCAGCAAAATCAGATGTCCCTAAAGGTTTTCCTATTTTACAGTTAATGAAAATAATTTGGTTTAGCTACATCAGACCTTGGCTGAGAGGATTGCGGGAACATTTTTTGGCTCAGAAAACAGGTGTGGTTAGGAAGTCATTGGAAGGACGATTACGCTTTAACATGAAAATACTGAAGCCTAACTAATAGGCATATTTTGTTGCAGCGGCTAAATGAAAACTGTTTGGCGGAAGAAAAACCAACAGATAACGAAAATGTTCTGGAATTCCTCCGCTGGGCTGATGAAGAACGTTTAGAAAGCTTACGACGAATGTCTGAGACAGTATGCTAACGACTCTAAAGGATTTCTCTGGCGATGTTTTTTGCCTTATGGGAGATTAATGAGTGGTTTCTATCATTCTCGATCAAATAATTAGAATTGGCAAAATTGGTAATTAAGGCGAGAGTTTTCGAATCCTTGTTATGTTTTAAGCAGAAGATTAAACTTAGTTCGCTTCTTTCTTCTTGACTAAAAATGCGCTTACAACAATTTGTCATAACCATTCGAATCTGCCGCAGTATTCGTCTATTATAAATCAGCTGAAACTGGTGTTTGTTTATGAGCCAACCACAAAAAAGCAATACTGATCAAGGCTGAAACGAGGAACATGACATCGAACCACCGATGATAAAAATTGAACTGCAAATCTCCCAAAACGACAGTAATGCTAGACCTGAAAAATTTTCATCACTTTCCCTTATTCATATTTTTATTCTTGAAACGTTAGCATAATATATGTTATAGACCCTGTCTGTTGTCTCGATTTGAATACCTCTTCGTTCATGGAACTCATGTCGTACTTTAACGTATATTAGTAAATTATAGTTTAATCAGTAAATCATGGAAATGTTCGCTTCCTCCCTTTTAGCGGTGGCAAAATTTTTGCTTACATGCACAGAAAAGTATATATATACAACAAGGTCATTGATAATAACAAACCTATATTGATGAGGCATGTTCATCCGCATTAAAAGTACACTTGACACAAAGTACATGCCCTGAAATTGTGAAAAACTACATATCATTCAAGTAATCGGTGAGAAACGATCGAGTGACTTCCCTCACTTCGAAATTTCTTGTTCATAACAGAAAAAAAAATGGATTTTGTTCTATGTGCACTGCTATCGCTAGAGTACTGCAAAAAGGACGGGCAATATTCCTTGTTCAGTAAAGACGATCCTATGAGATGACTGTAAAAATAGTCTGTACTTACATTTTGATCCAGGTTTATCCTAATAAAAAATGGAATTTTTTTTATACATTTAGTGAAAAAAAGAGTTAATTCTATCCCTCCAATGCAATCGGGAAGGACTCGGGTCGTCTTCTGTCCCGTCGTAACTAAGGCTTTTCCTAAGCGAAAATATGAATGCAGCGCTTACCATAATATGAGCAAGAATAAGAACAATCAAATTTGACGACTTGCTGCTCGAAATCATGTAGAAGAATTTTGTCAATGTTATTAAAAGACCTCGAACTGAAGTTACGGCGATAACACCCACTAACAGAAATGATATATGTTGTGACCAGAACCGAATCTGCAGATGTACCCTACTAGTTCATGTCTCAACTTTAATTCTTTCCAATTAAGTTTTAGACATTGCTAAAAATAAGATCCAGGGATTAAGCGAGATTAAGCAGAGCTTGATTTCCAGAAAGGATCAAACGGAATGAAGAATATCTACCGTTCAGCTGATAGACTTACATACATTCCTATGCAACTTACAGTCAATGATGAGCCATATTTGATAACTGGAAGAGACTTACATCAAGTTGAAAACCCATATAATTGACAGCAATCTCAATTCCTCTTGTAACTGGATCCACTTTACCGACTCGATCGAAAACAATGTTCACCGTACAAATAAATATTTTCCACATACAGTAAATGGAAAAGAAATGTCCCACTACATTGAAATATTGCCCTTGCCAAGTTTTACTATATTCCACACGCTCCTGAAAAAAATATAATGGGAGCGAAACCATTAATTGAATTATGGAAGGCGTTTGAATTTCTAAATACGAAACCGTGATTTACAATAAATTTTGGAAGCTTCCGTCCCATTTCATGTGGAACAAACGCAGGACTCGTACTAGAAGCTGTAAAATTTGTCCAACCTTGTAATAAAACAAAACAGTCTATACGTAAAGATATAATTCTGCTCCTGTTCCTATGTTTCTCAAGATTTATTTTACCCAGTTCCAATTTCCCAAAATCTTCATGTATCCTATCGCTACTCCAGCCAACAAAAGATGGTGGAATTAGACAGAATGACAGCGTAGACTAACGGAAATTTCGATATTTTTAGTCGAAATATTGGAAATTTTTCATATAAATAAGGAAACACGCACTCGCATATTTCGCAGTTCAACAATTTCTAGAAACAGGTAGCGACTGAGCTCTTCCAGAGGCAATATTTCTGAGTTAAGCAAACTGCAAAATCATCTTTGGGAATTTCGAAACAAGACCGGCATATCTCAAAAGAAAAAAGAACAGAGCAACGGAAGTGAAATAGTTGTACAAAGGTTGCTAAAACTTCTTACCTTATCTGATCTTTCAATGAACTTGAAGAAAATGATACCGAACCCCACAGTTTCTGCAGAAAACTTCCTTGGCCGTCGCTTCCTAAAAAAAGTATTACTTTAAAAAAGCAAAAAAAAATCGAACCAAAACTGCATTTTTTAACCGGCTCAACATGAAGAGCAAACAATCCAGATCGTCATTTTGTATAGCATAACTATTAGAAGCCTATGCTTCACACTTACAGATTCATCATGTTATTTCTTTAAATTTATGCACTGTGTGATTCATATGTTCTTCATCAGTAATCAACAAGATTTAATATATTCTCGGTATGCTTCAAGCATCTAACTCATACGTTTTAATACTACGCAAACACTAGTTAGGGGAATGTCACAAAATTTGTGATAAAAAAATGGTCAGGAATCTCTAAAAACAGAGGGTCATTTCAGACCAAACAATGAGCAATACCTTGCGTAAAAGCGCTTAATGCGACTTCCTTCTCCAAAACGCATAACCGTCTTTTCTTTGCAACAATCATTTCCATAGTATGCATAAGTTTTCGTTCCATTTGCGCTATTTGTATTTGCCCAACAGGCCGCATAAAAATCGTCATATAGCAGTAAGGAGCATTCACGGCACCAAACCCCGATAACATAGCCATAACTGTTACACCGATTACACCCACACGTGAAATTGCTTGTTCAATTGTAAATATACCTATAATCATTTAAAAAATGACAGGTTACATATTCAAACTGTCTGCTGTATGGATATGAAAATACGCATTTTTTCCCTAGCTCTACTGACTATGACAACTTGAACCTACGCAGAGTTTCAAACATAGACGATAACCGTAAAGAAAACTTACGCCAAATGAAGGACAATACTGTTTCATTGTCCATAATTTACAGAAAAATAAGCTTCAAAAACAAAGTAAGAATTTAAAAACAAGTAAGAATTTATTCTTACCATGCCTGGCGCTCAAAATTGGGAATGGATCACCTATTTTCCAAAAGAAATATATGAATATTATCCATGATATTACAGTGAGAGGCAAGATCCACTTCCTTCTTACTGAAAAAACTGAACACTTTTTGAAATTGTCAGTGATGCGAAGCATTGAGTTATGGAATTTCCATCCATAGGTGAAAATATCTCTTATGTCGACAACCTTCACGATTCTTTGAAAACGTACGTAAATTCTCCAAAAACTTTTTTACCCAACTTTTTAGAAGGAACTGTACTCTCCACTCATTTATTATAAAGAATATTCAGCATCGGTTCGAAGATTACCTATTAATACCATACTCTACCGACAGTATTTACCTTGTTTCGTCCATCTCTTTTGCCCAGAATTTACCTACTTATCATTTAAAAAAAAAAAGAAGAAACCAATAAAGAGGTTAGAAAGTAGCTACAAATTTCATCGAAATATTTAAAGATGAAGGAGTGCAGAAGATTAAAAAGGAAAATGAAACTTACTGAAAGTGATTGAACGGAACAGCGAAAAACAGAAATAAATTGGAAGAACTACAATTAATACGAAAAGTACTGAATACAGTCCTAATTTCCAGTGCAAAAACCGTGAACTGAAATTTTTGCGAAAATTTGATAAAACGGTTTAAATTACTACAAATGTTCTACTCAATTATAAGTTTTTTCAGCAGGATGCGAATTCCAATAGCCAGTGATATGTACAACTGCAAAATGTAGGTAACGCATACTCAAACTGTGCGCTCTACTAATGCAATAGGAGAGTTCAGATGGAGAAAATCTCATCCAGTTTCAAAAAACAAAACATTTACCACTCACCTCGGTTCTAGAAAGCCAATAATTTCAAAAATAATCAGTTCGAACATAGTGCAAGATAATGCAAACGTAACAGAAAATAATATCTGTACTAGTCTTTTATGTACTTCGTAATCGCGAAATAACTGTTTCATGAAGAAAAACCATCCAAACAAAAAGAAGATTACCTGAAATAAACACCAATGATTCGAAGTTTCCCCGTCAGGTTGAAGAACACTAAAGAAATCAGGATTACTCAAAAAATGTAGTATTCGAAATCAGAAAATAAATTCACTTGAGAGAGTAGCATAACAACGGAATCCCACATCATAGTCACGTGAGATGTCCAATATCCACCAACCAAACATCGGCTGCAACAATTTTCACCAACGATACTTTCAGGTTTCCGTCACTTTGTTTATCGTTAATTTATTCTTTTGCCTCCTACCACAATATATGATACTGTTTATGAGGACCAAAAACTATCCTGTATTGATGCAGAAGGTTAAAGTGCAATCTGCCTGAGTTCTAAGGCAACAATGCTACTAGTTTCCAGATAAAGATTAGATTCAGTGATCCAAATATAGATAATACCTGGACACCAATTCCCAAGTCATAGAGAGCTACTCGAAAATTGGCATGTATTTTTTTTTTTTAAATAACTGCAATACACATAAATTTCGAAACGCACAAATTTATATGAATTAGAACAGAAATCTGTAACAAGCAGGACATATGATGAGATCAAACGAGCAGTAATACAAATATTTCTGCAAAACAAATTTTAATAAATCACTACTTTGAAATATTTCATGAGTAAATCAATTCAGGCAATTTAGGCTGTTAGTTTCTACTAACAATCTTGAATATGAGCACCTGTGGCGGAAGAACAATCGATGGTCTTATGCTCACGACAAAATCAATACAATCTTTTTTTTAAAATGATATGTTAACAAATCTGAAACATTTGTCATGGTAAGAGTAATGTAATCCAAGAATACTTCTGGTTCTTTCGGCACAAGAAATTCCGGTAATTACATCCTGTGAACTAAGCTTATGCGAACATCTCGGAAAGATTTTAGCGCAACTGGTATTTGACCTAAGTCATTTAACATCCCCATTTTACTTGAGCAACTATTCCTATTAAACAGCTTACGCATATATGAACAAACAAATATTTTTTACAATGCACCCAGAAGATAAGGACGCAGAAGAGGCAGTTTTTAAAGAAAATACTAATTTTAATGGTCATTAGATCAAGAAATCTTTGTGCCATTTTTGCACTATCATGTCAGTTATAAATACCGGATCAATAATCGAGGTATGAATATTAAAAAGGATGACATAGTGAAGGCGGTGCAAAAAAATCTATGATAAACTATTCAACCCAAGCAAACTTTATTTTCCTATAATATGTAATAAGTAGCAAATCACGATTATTTAAGGGATGACAGGTGAAAATGAAATACTTAACTGAAATTTTTAAGTGGTCATTCCAGTACCTCCAGTCCAGCTTTCCTTGTTTTCCGCCTGCAATAATAACTGTTTAGTTCTTTCCACAAAATTTGTTAGTAAAAAACAAAGTGGTAAGAGATAAAATCCTAATCAATGAGAAAAGTAGAAGCTAAAAAAATGATTAGTAGTAGAAATAAATTACTGGGAAGAGTTGCAAAATGAGAAAACGTCAAATGAGTGCTTCACGCACAATAAGTTAAATTACATTTAAAGGGTGCTTCCAATACATCCATTTTTCCAGATTTACATGATTTCGTTCAAACACAAAAAAATGTATGATATTGCCTGTCTTGATATAGCTCACTAAATTTCTTTTTTTTTAAAATTTGAAGTAATTGCCTCTCAGACCTGTATGCCGATCTTACATCAAATGGATGAAATCTCTAACGAGTCAAATTAAGCAATGCTGGTAAAAGATGGAATTCAAAGATTACCTCGAAGGTTTTTATTAATTCAAATTGCCTTTTTTGCTCATCCGCGATATCTCGTCGTACTTCAGATAGCTGCTGCAAATCTTCTAGCTCAATTTCTTTTTCTTTCAAATACAATCTCTTTCTTTCTGTATCTGTAATGTTCATAATTTGAAATACGCCGCAACGTTTCATTGTATTTCCAATAAGTGATAAACAAGTAAATATAACAGGACCATTTCGAAGATTTGAACAGGAAGCAGAGTATGTCCATAAGTCAGTTCTATTTTTCTTTCCTGCACAGGTTTAGATAACTCGTAAAAAACTTTATGATATAATTTGCAACAGTTAATCTAATTCGAAGACTGAATATTATCTACAAGTTTACATAGCAAAATCTTTTTCATGAAAATTATGAATGAGTATGGCCAGTTTGTTGAGGCCTACCGAAATTAAAAAACCGCATACTGACTGACTGAGTAACAGACCAGGTCTTCACAATAGTCTTATCGAAATGTTTGTAAAAACTGAATTATTGTAGAATAGTTTCGTTAAAACAATGAAATGAAACAGAATTAGTACTGCCTGCTATCATTTTGATTTTCTCCGAGTGTTACTTATTACCTCTTTCCAGTGTGTGTAGGGTAGCCAATAAACAATCTTTTTCGGTGGCGTTTGCATTCATTTGTCCTTAAAAATTATTCATGCTATCAATGAGCTGCTTTTCCAAGAAAAAAAAAAGGTGTTAGCAAGAGAAATTATTACTTACTAGCAAGTGATGCTATTACGTTGACTGTTAAGAATGAGAAATGAAATTAAAAACATCTTTCATCTAATTTGTCAGATGGGAATGCTAGTAACAATGTTTTAAGTAACAATGCTGCAACAATACTTAACTTTATAATCACCTTTATCATATATAATTACTTTATGCACAATTTTATTTACTTGATTTAGATAATCTTAAGAAAGTGTATTGAACAACCAAAAAGGAAGGTTATGAGTCTTGAAACATTCATTTTTCAAATCATTGCTTTTTCCAAGACCTCTAATTAATACATACCATTGTAAGATGGTTTTAAACTATTCAACTGCTCAACAATATTCAATATCTGCACATGAATTCGCTGAGCTTCCATGTCACGTTGCTCCATCGAGTCCTGTAATTATTCAATGAAATGATACAAATGTAGTTTGTTGAATGGTTAAGGATTCCTACACATTTTGATGCTGAGAATAACAGAGTTTTGTTTCCCTCATCTTTGAAGGAGAACAAATAATGAAGATGGAATGTTTACAAGAAAGAATATTGGGAAATGAAGTTAAAAAGAACATACTTTGGCATTTTCGTCGGTGGGAAATTTGCCTAAAACCACTCGTACAGCAGAATACGGATCCGTCGTATCCATCTATTCCTGCGGTTAACTCTGCCAAGCTACGAAGAGAGGAAGTATATCCGATAAAATAAAGAATCCAAACGGATTTAGATATTGTGGAATATTTATCTATCGGATGAAAATGTCTAAAATAAATGAAGTAAGGATACCGAATTATTTCTCAAAAACTCTTAACGTGAGTCTACCGCAACCTGCGTCACACCAAACAGAAGTCATGTATGTTTCAAACAACGAGAAGACGTTTACATCAACGCCCAGAAAACCACCCACCTCACACTTCACAATCGACCGCAGTGACGCGGTACTCTGAAAGACGCGGAACGATACTACTCCCGCATTGTCTCATCACATATTACTCTCTCACCATCTTTTCTCCTCTATCTCCCAAAAGTATGCAATCTTTCCTCTTC